GTAGGACACTTCAGTTGCTTCCATGTCCTGGCCACTGTGAATAATGCTGCTATGAACATCGGTGTGCAAATATCTTTTTAGATATATGTTTTCAAGTCTTTGGGATAAATACCCAGTAGAGGGATTGCTGGATCATATGGTAAATCAATTCTTAGTTTTTTGAGGAACCTCCATACTGTTTTCCATAGTGGCTGTACCAATTTTCAGTCCCACCAGCAGTGTATGAGGGTTCCTTTTTCTCAGCATCCTCTCTAGCATTTGTTATTTCTTGTCCTGTTGATTATCTGACCCCTTTTGACCTGTAATGATTTGTGTGTTTACTCTTTGAGAACATTCCCTTTTCATCAGGTTTTTTAAAAAAGAACTTTTCCTTTATCTTAAGCTGGAGGCAGGATGATATAGATTCCTGTTACCATTTCTGCTACTAGCAGAATGGGGAAGAAGAATGTTAGGAAGGGAGCTGGAACTGGACTGTGTTTGTATCTGTATGTGTATATGTCTTGGGTTGAGTTGGGCCCCTGGGAATAATCTCCAGGAGAGAAATTATGTGTCAGAAATTTCTTCACTGGATTTGTTGAAATCATGTCGCAAGAACCAGTTTCTGTGATTTGTTTTTATTCTTGGAGTAGCTTCTGTTTCAGAGACAGGTATGTAAGGCTAGCTACTTGTTTGCCGCCATTGCCTGCTGAATGAGGAAAGTTCCCCTATACATTTGGAGTGAGAATTGCACCTCTAATTAAGTATAGTTCTTTTTAATGTGGATGTGAGCCCATGGATAGCATCGAAACAAAACAAAACACTGTTGAGAGAAAATCTTTATAGCTTTAGGGTAAGGACTGCAAACTCAAAAGTCTGTTGAGACCAGCCGTGGTAATGCCAGGGACACAGCAATATGGACACTGAGTCCCGTGGCCTGTGGCTGACCAGAGTACTTGGCCTGTTGCCAGGTTGGAAAATGAGCCCAAGGGTTACCAGATCTTCTAAGAAAATTAAAAAAGATTTGGGAGGAGAAGTCTGTAAAATTTTAAATGTTAGCAATGAATTCCAAATGGTATTTTTCAAACATAGTGAGCACCAGGCCCAGAATATCAGTGATGTATAATAATGGGGGCCATGTGTGGCCATTTGATGACTTCTGGGATTGGCTGTCTGCATGTGTGGCCCTTCCTCAGTGCATACTGTTGATCTGAGTTAGTAAAAGGGGCTCCAGGTAAATAGATCCCTCTTTTCTGAATTGTAGGCTGTTAGTATTTTTGCTACTTGATTTCAGCAGTGCCATGCCATTTTTATGAAGGAAATTGTGAATCAGTCACTTGGTTATTTACCTCAAACCTTCCATCTGTATTAATATCTCAGTCTTTTTGGGAGACTGTTTGGAGACAATACATACACTATTGTTTTTACTTTTTAGGCTCCAGAAATTTATTTTTATTTTAAAAGAGATGTATCGAAGTACAGTTGGCAGATAGTAAGCTGGACATATTTCAAGTGTACAATTTGGTAAGTTTTGATCTATGTATAGACCTGTGAACCTTCACCACAGTCAAGAAAGTGAACATATCACCCCCGAAAGGTTCCTTGTACACCTTTGTAATACTTCCTTCTGCCTCTTCTTGCCCCTGAGAGTTATTTTTAAAAGGAATCTTGTTTATCCCTATATATAGAGGCTCTTTTAAAGAGTACACATATCACTCATACCTTCAGGTTTTTTCATAAATCACTTTGGCACCATCCATTTTATTTTTTTAATTTCAAAAGAATCTTGACAATATTTAGAGAGTTAGTGTCATTCAACTTTATAGATGAGGCAAAACATTTTTCTGCAAAGATGCGAATAGCAGTGTGAATTAATGAAACATAATAATTTAAAAAATTTTTAAAGGAAGCAGTTTCTAAAAGTAATCAAGGCAAAGTAATTTTTATATTTAGAGGTATGCAGAATTGGGAGTATACCTCTAAATCATTATTTTTCAGTGGGGCTGGATGCTGTTGGCATTTGGGCAGGATAATTCTTCTTGTTCCTCTACCCACCAAAATTTCCAAAACCCTCAGGAAGGTGGTACACCCTTTTTGAGAGTCATTGTTTAAATGATGGTCTGTCAGAAATTAAAGATCGTGGTTAAGAGCATGGGCTCCAGAGTTAGATAGACCTGGGTACAAATCCCTGTTCTACCACTTACTAGCTGGATATTGGACAAATTACTTAATGTCTCCATACTGCACCATCTTTATCTATAAAGTAGTGATAACAGTAATACCCACTTAACATGGTTATTGTGTAGATTAAGTGAGATTTGCACTCAAAAAGTTTAGCACAATTTATGGCACATGGAAAACCATATTATGGTTATAATATTTAGTTGGTTGTTTGAAATACTTAATGTTTTAATAGAATAATGCGGTAAATAAACATGTAGTTAGGTTTTCAGAAAACTAGAGAAGTCTGTTTAACACCAAATGTACTGTATGGTCTGTAGTGTATTCTCTAGGATAAGAAGGGGAAGCAGAAGCTGGTGAATGACAATGAATGTAATTGTTTGAAAGACATTAAGTATCTTAAAAACCCATGAGTTTATAATGTTGATAGAGAAGGAGAGAACACAAGAGAGAATGGAGTAGAACAGTTTCCAAACCTAACTCATTGAGCATCACTGGAAGCATCTAGGACATCAACTCCTTGGTCTGAAATTGTTAGTTAGAAGGAAAGAAATAAGCATTTGTCCTGTCTTTCCTATATGAATTATATTTTATAGTAACCAAATAGCCTTATTTGATAAGGAATTTTTTTTTTTTCCAGAATTTCATCTGATAAAGATGGTAGGATTGAAAAAAATCACCACTTTTCGATCCATGATGAAATGAATTAGGCAACAGTAATCAGTGGATGGAACCATTAGATGAAGAGTTGATGGGGAATTTACAGAGGTGGGATTGAGCTATCATCACCTGAACTAATACTGGCATTACTAAAAATAGGGCATTCAGACATAACATATTTTCTTAAGGTTTATAAGATGAATCACAGAACACGATCTTTGAAATATTCTTGCCTTGAATAAAATCAAGTATGGAAGTCAGGTGATGGAGGACCAAGTTAATTGGC